GGAAGAGCGAGAAGCAGCTGGTGAGGGCATCTGAAACCAGACCACGTGGCACGGAGCAAACCACGTGCTTCACGAGGGCACCCTGAGGGCTGCATCCTTCCCATCTTGGCTACTACTTCCCCGAGCATCAGCACTGGCTGCGGGCACTAGGGCTGTAGGATTGGGCAGCGCCAGCCTCACCCCTACGGGAATCCCCAAATTTATACTTAAAAAAAATCTGGCTACAAAGTTATGACTATTTTGAGTTGTATCTACAATTCTCTCGATAGGTACTTTATGCTCGGAGGTGGTTTTGTGTTGCTTTGGCTGCTGTGGAAGGGGAGAGGGTGTGGACAGGAGATGTGGGCATCCCGATTTCAGGCACCGCATCCAGCCGCAGGCCACAGGCTGTCCCCAGGACTGTGGCAGAGCTCGTTTGCGGCCCTCGTTAGTGGCCTCCGGCAGAGCCACCTCAGGCACAGGGGCTCAGGAGCCACCAAGGGGGAGATGCCACCTTGGGCAGGGGCAGCACTGGCCCTGGGAGTCTTCGGCAGCGCCAGGGGCTCAGCCAGTCCCAGAACAGAGTCCTCATTTCTGTAGCCCGGCTTAAAATATAGGTGTGTTTGAGGCTGAAATCTGAGGGTTTTCCTGGAACAAACAAGCCTTGCCTGTCCCCTGGCTCTCCAAACAAGCACCGACGCATCCCCGACCAGGAAGACAACCAGGGCTGGGGGCTTCCTGGGATAGGACGGGGTGCTGGAGCACCTCAGCTGGTCCGTGGGGATGCAGATCATCACCTGCCTTTACACAGGTGGCAAAACATGTGTGCAGTAGAATTTCATTTGGAGAAATCGCTTACAATGAACAACACGGCGACTCTTCACGTTAAACACGTCCTGCGGCTTTGGGATGTGTCATTTTTGGGGGGAGGGATGAGCAAGGCTGAGCTAGGGGAAAGCCAGACCTGGGGCTTACTGCTGGTTCACCTGTCCCTGGGAGCGGGCAGGGGCTGTTTGGGATCGCCCGGATCGCCTTCCCCCATGAGGTGCACTGACCCCATCTGTGGGTGAGACTACTTAAGGCTGAACACGTGAAGTATTTCTGAAATCGTCTTTGGCTGGAGCTGTGCTAGCACTGCCCGTAAGCCCAGAGAGCTGCCTGGGTGCCTTCAGCGGAGCTGTACAGTGAAAGGCGTCCTACCACCTTCCGGAGCCCAGAGAGCTCCTCCAGAGCACTGTGTCGGGGTTTAAAACCGGTGACAAAGCTGTTACAGCAATAGGTGTAGACTGAAAAGCATCTTAGGACTGAGCAATGTAGAACACCACAAAGTGCCACTATATATACACTTTTTTTTCATATATATATACACACACATTGCCAGCACAGGTAGTGATGCCTGCTTATGCCTCTGTTAGATTTATTAATAAGTATTTAATAAATATTATTAATGAGACGGTGATGATTCCAGACTAGAAAACAATCCCGGAGCAGAGCCTATCCCAGAAAGACCCAACCCTCCTGCTTGGATGAGATTAAGAAAAATACAACCCCACACCTGCCCCTTCCTCACTCCCACCCACCACCAATCACGCCCACCTCCTCCCACTCCTGCAAACCGGCCAGTTAAGAGGAGATCAATTAGGAGGAGAGGTTTCCCTTCCCTTCTTTCCCAAGAAAAGCCAAACACTGCTGCCACCCCTTCGAGCATCCCCCCAGACGCGAATCCGGGCGCGGACGCAAGCAGCGGCGACTCACCATGGTGCTCATGAGGATGTCGGCGCAGTCGGGCAGGTCGATGGCCGGGGCAGCGATTAAAGCGTTTTCTCCCCCCGAGTCCCCGTCGAGGCTCCTGGCTGTCCGGAAGGGAACTTCATCCAGGTAACTCATCGCCGCTGCCTGAGTTCTTGCTGCCGGAGGAAGGGATGAAACACAGCTGTAGAAGGCACCTTCTCAGCTGGGAGAAAGATGAGCCATTTCAAACGACACCGGCAGAACGCAGCCCTCAGAGACGCTGCCAGCTGAGTAAAAACTGCTGTGTGCAATGCTCAGATTTGCAACTCTTAATTACTGACACCAGGAAGATTTGTCTGAACTAACCTTTGCTATTCTGAACTTGAGCCAGCAGGACCTGACCAAGCTTACGGCTTCATTTGGCAGAGATCCTGAGCGTTTTTCTCCTCCTGCATGTCCCGCTGCTTTCCATCTCTCGCTGCCTTTCCCACGCCACAGACAGGCCAAGCACTTTTCCCGGCTGCAGAGGCTCTGTATAAAGGTCTCAATTTAGTAAAAAGCCACTGCGTGCCGCACGAAGCCTCGAGTCCTCAGCTTCCCAGTGACACCAGCGTGCAAAATACTGCTCTTTCTATATTGTCAGCTGGCAAGAGCTGAGGTCAGTCTTCCACCGAGCTCTGGTACCTGCAGCCTGTGCCTGTCCGTCCCAAAGCAGCTGCCAGTCTTGGACACAGAGTAAATATTTGCTGTGACATCCATAAGTGCTTTTACCAATTTTTTTTTATCTTTAAAAGGAATGGCTTCTATGACAATGAGGATAAACACTCTACAAAAAAAGAAAATACGCAGGTGAATGTATACGAGGAAGAAAAAGCTGCCTGCTTAATGCAAAAATAAGGGTCTGCAATGGGAAATGGCACTCAGAGTAGTTCCTACTACTAACAAAACTAACAAACTGCTCCCAGACCACAAACAGCAACACACGCAATCGCTCGGTGCAACTCCGTTGGTCTCAGCAGAAGCACAGAAGAGCTGTCGCTGGCTGCTGACGCCAGGAGCCTTCCACACGGGCGGCTGTAGCGCAGACAGAGCCCCTAACCGGCTTTGCGGCTCCCGCACGTGTACTGCTGCTCCCACGCAACGTGTCGGGACCCGCACGGAGCCAGGCCATCTGCTCCCCAGCCTGAGAGGGCTCAGCGTTAAGCTGCAGCCCACGTCAGCGCTGAGAACATCTGTAAGCCAAGCTGCTTTCCCCCAGCTTTCTCCGACTGCTCTGTGCGGCTGCGCAGGGAGGGACGGACCCTCCTCGCAGCTCACGCTGGAGATCAGCTCTTCCCAAAAACCATGGAGTACAAAGGTGCAAAGGAAAGGAGCCTCTCGTCGTCCTAGAAGGGCTTTACTTGGGTTTTAAATGCCACTTTAAGGTATGGAGATGGGTGGTGAATGGATCTGAAGCCACGCTGAAGGAAATACGGAGAGATGACGGTACCACATCTCACTGTATTTCACTGCATAAATACCAAGAAAGGCTCCTGCAAGTGTTACTTCCCAAAACCACTGTTTAGAAAAAAAGCAGCACATTGGGGTGAGGAGTGATGACAACACCACCGCTACTAGTCAAGAATAAAAGCAGGTCAGTGGTAAACACCAGAAAGCACCTCCTACTTTCACACCAAAGATAACAGAGCTGTGTCAGAACGAGGATGCGCCTCACCAGCATGAGAAACCCGAACTGCACTGGGACCGGGGAAGGAGTCAGATGCACATGAGTCTTGGAAACCCACAGCCAAACCCTCTTTTCTTCTGGGCTGTAGTATTTTTTAAAACTTAACATATTAGGAAATACGATACTTAGACAAGTTCGAATCTTAAATCTGAATACACAAGGGTTTTTTAAGAATGAATACCCTGTCTCTATGTATTTTATCAGTTAACATTTTAAACACTCCCCTTCCATCTGCGGCCTCAACATCTTCCTCACTAAAAATATAAACCTTTTTAATGCAGATGTCATCAGACAAGAGCAAATACGTACAACAAAGCACAGAAAGCAAGAGGTTGAAATACACCTAAGCACACATCATCCACTGGCATTTTCCAGTCCTGTTTTTAGTAACAATACGAAGTTCTCCTTACCGTCAGACGAAATCATGGAGCTCTTCTCGCAGGGCAGGGAGAACGGCGTTGCTTTCACGCTGCCTGCTGATCTGCTGCTCACTTCTTTAAATTCTTGCAGCATCAGACGAGCGTCTGACTTTGACAGTTTTAAGATTATCATAGCTTAAGCAGCCAGCCTCTCCTCAGACACGCTGGCGGGGTAAGGAGCCCAACCATTTTAGCAAGCCTAACTATTTAAGCAGAGCATCCTCCGGTCACTAAGCCGCCCGAACTGAAAGTGGCGTTTCTGCCACTGTTTCTACGCTGTTTGAACTTTTGCTTTTTCAGCAGGTAGGAGTCCCCAGGATCTGCCTCAGCCATAGGTCCTGGAGTAAAGAGGTGCCAGAAGCGGCAGGAGGGACGGGAGGATGTACGGACACGCAGATCGGAACCCCTGCCTCCGGAGGAGTTCACGGCAGTCTGGATTTTGGGGTGCTATAGGTAGGTGATATACACATGAAAGGCAAACTTCTGCATGCAGATTAATTTTAACTCTATCAAAAATTACTAGTTCAGGTGCTCTTACTAGCAGAAATCAACGCAAAGCTTCAGCCAAGAAACTATTAACATTACATATCAGGCCCAAGTGCTGGATTCAGGCAATTGCATGTTGCCTCCTCCATGCATAACACAATGCCGTGATGCGAAGAGGTCAGAAACTGGAGAGATTACATAGAACCATAGAATGGTAAGGGTTGGCAGGGACCTTAAAGCTCATCTGGTTCCAACCCCCCTGCCATGAGCAGGGACATCTTCCACCAGCCCAGGGTGCTC